AGGCCGAAGTAACTGACCAATCCCTTATTAATATACACTAGTTTAAAATCATGGTAAAATGGGTCTACCATTGGCACATATCACACAGTATATCAAGACAACAAATCCCTGAAAATGTCAAAAAGGGACCCCTGACCATTGAAAATGTCAAAAAGGGATCATCTGCCCATTTTTAAACATAATTTGGTTGCCTCGCATAGTAAGTTTCTATTAGTGACCCCGGGCTTTTCAGTCATGCATATAACGATATAAAACATCAAGTTCAAAAAAAAAGACTGGATTTTAATCAGTAAATGGTGCGTTTCGCTAAATATAGATAATCGTTACATGTAATCTGTAACCATGGAAACAATATCCCAGACCATTCGTCTAAATATCGATACGAATGGGTATTATACTTACAATATTTACGACTGTTATAGTTTTAAGCCCTGGAGTTTACTACCAAAAATAGCGAAGGCCCGATGCGATGGTGAACGTCAGTACAGGTGGTGGTTCACATGGCGGATCCCATCAGGTGGTGGCGATAATTGATAGTAGGGTGACTTAGGGGATATATGCTAATGCTGGTGTATATATATACAGTTCATAGCACTGGTACCCTGGCTGATATGGTGACGGTTGTGTATATAAACCACAAAATAAAACCACAGCACCCCATAGTATAGTTATAGATGTATTGTTACTTTACAGAATTGGTATATTAGTATAATTTTTCTAAATAGAATATTTTTTTTAGTGTGAAAACATCGACCGTTTTGTTTCATTTAGCCGTACTATGACATAATTTCCCCTGATACGCAAGTTACAAAACATGTATACTATTAAAATATATCTTTGGAAGAAGCACATACAGTGGTTGTAGATATGTTCTATTTCCCCCTGTATCGAATCACTTTTATTTTGAAAACAATGTACCTGTACAAGAACTTCAGTATTTGTAGTCGTCCATCTTTGATCCGGTCGCAAAACGAATGATCTAGTAAATGCATCTTTAAAGGGCGGTGGTCGTCGGGCCGCGTCCTGTTCGATATGGAATTCATAGCGACGTATACAACACATGTAAAATACATTGTTTGTGTACACGAAATTCTAACACACGCTACGTGACGACCACCGTCCTTTAAATATACAAAATACATGTACAGCACTATCGAAAACAAAATCTTATAAATGTGCGTTCACTGCATGCTTACAACGTATAAAGGTGTGTTCACATCATATAAAGTTGTGTTCACATCGTATAAATGTGTGTCCACATCGTATAAAGGTGTGTTCACTTTGTATAAAGGCGTGTTCACATTGTATAAAGTTGTGTTCAAATCGTATAAATGTGTGTTCACATCATATAAAGGTGTATTCAGATCGTATAAAGGTATGTTCACATCATATAAAGGTATGTTCACATCATATAAAGGTGTATTCACATCGTATAAAGGTGTGTTCACATCATATAAATGTGTGTTCACATTGTTGTATTGGATTCTCATTCAGGTACACTACATTCCGGATTGTTGTCTACGATTACCGATCTACGACAAAGATATTGGATACGAAAATCCGTCAAATTGTAAAGAAATTACTACAACACTGCTTAACGTGTCGGAAAATTACTGGAAAACCGCATTGTCAATCCAGTCAAGCTTCGTTGCAATCGTTTCGTGTAAACGTCACTTCGCCGTTTTCGGTAAGAACAGGTGTGGACTTTACGGGTGCGCTATACGTTAAAGGTGCACACAATGGCAAAGAACAAAAGGCGTATATATTTGTTGTTATTTACGTGTGCGGTAACTCGGGCTATACATTTAGTAGAACTCGTGTCTGATTTGTCGGCGCCAATTTTCTTAAGCGCTTTCCGACGGTTCGCAGCACGACGAACAATGCTGTCTAGATTTATATCCGACAACGGTTCCACTTATCTCTCCGCCGCTGATAAGTTAAAGGAATTATTTGATTCGCCAGACGTCAAACGGTATTTCGCTGATAAACATGTACTATGAACGGAGTTTTATCCCCATGGTTTGGAGACTTTGGTAACGTTTAATTCAGGCCTATACCAGCACTAAAGCTCATCAAAGTACGAAAATGTGGTAGTTGCCTGGATAAAACGAGCCTTTTTAAAATGAATTAATAACTGTAAAGAAATTTAAAGACTTTTCAAAGATTTTTTTTTATTTTTCCCTTGACTTTCCAGACCTGACATGCTAATTCAGCATGGTGTCAACGAGCGTCAGTGGACGTAAATATACATTTGCAGTTGTCGATGTTTTTCAAAGGTTGTCAGATTTGTTACCCTTAGCAATATATGTTAAAAATATACATTTCTGTCTGAACTTAATAAAAACACGGTCCTGTTGCATGATTTTTTTTCCCAGTGTACTATTCAAACAACCAACAAATGATGTTTACAGCAATATTTCACACTAAACGTCACTGCTGCCAACTTTTTTTGAGAGAGGTATACAACAAATAAAATTGAGACTGTATAATTGTCTCGAGGCACAAACGAAAATGACCCCTAATTTTCTTTGTTTTTACACCTATTGTGTTTATAAGAATGTCAATTTTGTTTTCCCAAATTACAAAGTCTGTAACTATAATAGGACATTTTTCAAGATCCCAATGTACCAACACATTATTATACATCTATCACCATAACACCATAAGTTACAGCGTGCCGTAATTTTGCGGTAACACACTGGGTATTTTCATCCTACTATATTAGGAAATGCGAATTTCAAATATGGAACGAATATGCATGCAAGTGTCCTCTAATAATAAGAACAAACATGGCAGCCCTCAGGGTATGACCGGACCCCATATACAGAAGTTCGCTCAATCTGTTTTAAAATTTTTGTATTTCGGCATTCCCATGATGTATCCTTTGGAGAAAAAGATGTT